ATAATTATTTTTATCTAAAATGTAGTAATAAATTTTAATAATTGAAAGTAGCGAGGTGAATAATCAAAATTTTATATAAGTGTAGTATATTAGATTGATTGATATATATATATATATATTACTATGTATTAATTTTGACTTTAAAAAAAATTTGAGTCTTAACTTACATTTAAAAACTAAAATTTCAATTTAAAATTAGGAAATTCACCTTATTAAATATTGATATGTAAATTTGAAAACTAATTATATTCTAATATAATCAATTTTTAAATTTAAATATTAATATTTAATAAAATAAATTTTTAAATTTTTAATTAAATTTTAATTAAATAAAATAACGTAATTTAAGGTTTTGGAACTCCAATTTATTTTTAAAGTCAAAACTGATATGCACTATTATCTCATATATATATATATATAAAACTAGGTTATTCATTGTAGCAAATTTACTATTGTTAAATATATATTAGAAAATATAAGTTTCTTAATCAAATGGTCATAGATGTTAGATGGAATGGTTATAGATGTTAAATCAATTTCAAAATTGACATGCATAATCTATATCAATAAACATTAAATTTAATAGTTGGTTTTTGGAAATATTCATTAGATGATAGTATTTTTGTGGTTGAAAGTTCAATTTTTTTTTATGAAAATCAAGATTAATATGTACATTTTTTATACTGTGTTACACATAATTAATGTAAATTTATAATTTTATTTGTCATTACAAGTATATGAGGTTAGTGCATATCAATGTTAACTCTAAAAAAATTAAAATTTCAATTTTAAATAACTTCATTTCATTTAATTAAAATCTAATTTAAAATTAAAAAATTCACCTTATTAATGTTGATTTCAATATTTGAAAATCAAAAATCTAATTCAAAATTTAAAAATTCACTTTATTAAATATTGATATATAAATTTAGAATCTACTTATATTAAAATATATAAATTAATTTTCAAATTTAAGTATCAATATTTAATAAAATAAAATTTTAAATTTTAAATTAAATTTTAATTAATTGAAATGACGTAGCTTAAAATTGTAATTTTAATTTTTTTTAGAATCAAAACTGATGTGCATTTACATTATTTCTAAATTAAATTCCAAGATATCAATTGCTAAAAGTGTTGAGCAATTATGAAATACAACTTATACATAATGAATTTCAAAGAAAAGGACATGCTTGTTTTATGTTCTTCCGTCCTAATTTTCCCCTTTTAAAAAATATTTTTTTCACATATAGTTAAAATTATCTGAAATTTGATTGACTGTAATATGGCATTGGTCACATGATAGAATTACACATA